TGACATACAGAATGTAGAAAGTTGGGGCTTTGACATTGTTGAATATCTTCACCCAAAACAACTAACTTTCATTAGACAGCATAAACAAATTAAAAGTTGGAAAGACGGTTCAATATGGGGTAATTCTCATCTTATTTGTACATGTTATTAGCTGTTGCAATAATCTAAACTTGCATTTGAGAATGTCATAAACAGTAGCACCAGTAAATGTTTTTGTTTTTTTTTTTTTTAATAGGTATTATATACATGGAATCTCAATGCTTTTCTTGAAGTGGCTGAGTGATTTATCTCAACAGATTTCTGCACTTAGGAATTTYTTTACTCAAAGATTCTCAAAGGAAGCAGTTTAATGCAAACTCTCAATATGTCACATTTTGGCAGTGATTGCTTAATGCAGCAGTGCACAAATGAATTGCTCCACTRCATCCTCTGATCATGAATATGAATCGGAGTACTATAAACTGAACTCAATGTACTGATAAGTGACTGCATCTGATTGTGCCAGMAGCCAGATGATTTTCTCATTAATGAGATGAACTATTAAAAGATGGAAGAATATGAAGCCAAGCCAGCATTGCCTGAGCCTCTTTGCTGACATTTTTCCAGGCCTACCAGGAAGGTTTGTCAAGCAATGAAAGAAAATTCATCCCAAAAGATATTTTATGAATGAAGTTAAATAAAAGCTTCAAGGCTCAAATTCTGTTTCAGATTACATGGATGTGACTCCCTTGTAGTTGTAGTGTTTCTGTTTCAATATGGGATAACCCAGATTTTGATACTAAGGAATTATGCTCCTCCTTTGCTTTTTGGTATCTGCTGTTCTGAGGATAGGAGCCCATGGCTGCCAGGAAAAGACAGAAAACCTCATTCAATTAAGCAGGACTTCTAAATTCATTAAACTGAGAACCATGGATTTATGGAAGGCATGAGGCAAACACATCCTTTGGAATGACAGTAAACTGCTAGAAATATTTTTAATTTGGATATTTTCGAGTCTTATTCAATGTCAAGCAYTGGTGTGTAAAAACCCACTATTGTTTGCAAGCATCACCATGTTGCATTGCAGTTTAAACATGACCACATCTATGCTGGAATCATCTTCAGTACAAGTCCAGAACAAGGCATCCAGATCAGTGGCTGAGCCCCTAGCGTTTCTAGATCTCTGCTCCTCTAGAAATGTGACATGTAGCTACTTAAAAAAAAAAAAAAAAAAAACAAAAAAAACCCAAAAAAAACCAAAAAAAAAAGTCCCAAAGCTATTTTTCGAACGCTCCAGTACTGGACCAGAATAGTGAAGAGCGTATCTGCAGACATCACCACTACTATGGCAAATCAGCCTCTAGAGGGCATTGCAAGCTAAATGTTTTCCCTGACAAGTGTTGAGAACATCTTGGATCAGCCCAGAAAGCAGCTCTTAAATTACTTAAATTAAGAGATTTTCCTGTGTTTATGACATCAGATATGTGGCAGACAAAAAAAAAAAAAAAAAAAAAAAAAAAAAGCTATTGGGCAGCTCTACTGAAAGATCTTTAATCCACAGAGCAACAGCTGATAGGTTTTTGGTAAGGATAGATGCCACCAGACATTTTCTAATATATCTGAAGCTTCTTAGGGTGAGACAGGTTTTGAGCAAATTTTTGCACATAGCTGTTCCCTTTTAATGAYTTTGCCTGCATCTTTCTGAGCTCTACCATCCCCACTGGTGGTTGAATATAAAGATAATTTGCCATTACCAAGGAGGTGCCAAGAAGCTTTGAAGCATTAGCACCTGGCATGTGGGACAGTGCATCTGATACAAATCAAATAACATTATTATTTGATTCTCTCCAGATCTACGATCTATAAAAATTGCTCAGATATAAGAGGGGATCAAAGTATTACAAAGTTCATCAACATTCCAGGCTTTTTGTGTGTTAGGCAAAACTACATTAGTGATACATCATGGGGTACTCAGGCAGTGAGCTGGTAGGATGGGTTCTTCCCAGTATGGGAAGAGTCACCTTCTCTAAAGGTGTTTTTAAGCCTCTATAGACATGCAGCAGGAAACATCTAAACAGTATTTTTTACAGTCCATACATGTGAACTATATCAGTTCAAATTACAAAAACTACTTTTCTGCTGCTGAAAAGCAAGGAACACTCTTGCCTTGCTGCATGCTGAAACCATATTTTGTTATTGCAGAGAGCAGCAACCAGGTCCTTTGCTGTAGATGGGCTATGTATGTGTTACTACTCACATTTGTTCAACTACAATTAACTGAAATAGATTCAATGGGGCAATTAGAATAATTACACTGATTTTTTCTGGACTGAATTTCTTATATTTCTCGATTTCTCTACCATCACAGTTATTATTTTTGATTTTCAGACACTGCTGTGAGAGTTTTGCCAAATATCATAGGCAACTACATTTCTAAGAAGCTACAAGTCTTGTAGACTCACCAAGGTCCAGGAGTCCCTTATTTTCAGAGTGCTCAGCTAATTTCTTCGTGCCTTATTTCCTGGTGCCATTCTGGGTGTTAAGATTTTGTACTGTGAGAATAGATTTTAGTATCTCCTATAAAATAGAAATGTCTTCTCTGAAGTRCACAACATGTTATAGAACAACAATTTTATTAATAAGGAAAATCCAGTGCATACACAATGTTAAAAATACATTAATCAAATATACTAGAAAAAGCAATTTTATAATTAAAACTGAAAAGTTAAACTATATCAATGAGAAARTTATACAGGAGTAAAGCAATACCACTGAAACAATCAGTATTTATACTGATAGACAGTTGCATAATGACCTAAAAATTCTTAGGCTTGTTCATTATATGATTGCAGTGAATAGAAATATCAAAATTTTAACTTTAACTGGCTTTAGTTAAAACTCTAAGTTTGTTGCATGCAAACATTTTGATTTAAGCACGACAGCAAAATAAAATGATCCCTCTAGAATAATTATCAAATGGTTTGTGTAAATGCAAATGGATTAGTGCTGAATATTTTTAATGAGAAATAAAAGGGTTTCTGTAACTATACTGTGGCCACACAAAATAGTTCAGATGCCATATGCCCATAAATGACGTAAATTCTGTTTGAACTCCAGATAAAGAAAATTGGATTCCCTGTGAAATACAATTTGCAAAAGATGCCCAAATTCCAAACCTCACAGGTAATATATTTGCAACTTTATTCATTTTGTGGATGTTTATTTATCTAATAAAGTAAACAAACCCAGTTTTGTGTCAGAATGTTTCTGGTTATCTGCTTAGAAACAGAAAAGTTTCGAGGTTTTTTTTTTTTGTAAGAGGAGGAAAGGTGTGTGCACATCAAACAATTAAGATTGGAAGTGTTGGGTTTTGCCTCCCTCTGTGCTCTGGACCCTCAGCTATGAGCACTACCACCCTGCAGTAAAGGCTGCATGGCAGGTTTTGCTTTGTCCTGGGGTCAGAGATACTGAAAGGAAGAAAGAGAAAGAAAGATTAATCTGATAAAGGCATTGCCATTTCTAATCGGACTGATGGGAAACCGTGGTATGAAGTTAAAGAGGCAACACAGGGTGAATTACTGTGATGAACTACCTTAAAGCTGAAGCAATCAAATAGATAGCTCCCACATATAAAAATTACTGTGCCATCYTTATTCATCAACAGTTTTGCACAAGTGTCTCATGTTCAATCCCTTCCAGGAACAACTGAAGCACTCTGATACATTGGATTAGATTAAATCTTACCTGAGAGACTCAGCCACTGGGATGGCTGCTTCCTGCTTCCCAGACTTAATTTCTCATAATAGAAATAAACATTTTAAAGCTTGAAAACAAACTCCATAAAGTAATACTAGTACAAGCCAGTGCCTGCACTTGGAACTTAACTGTAATGGAATTGAAAGGGCTTTTACTCTGGTGTGTGACAGCAGCAAAACCTTTYCAATAGGCTGACAGGTGAAAACCTGTAGAAGGGAAATTTGTGAATCCTAATTTATAGAATCATAGAATGGCTGGGGTTGCAAGGGATCTCAAAGATCATCCAGTTTCAACCTCCATGCCATGAGCAGGGACACCTTCCACCAGACCAGGTTCAGAAAGTATTCATACAGACACCGAGGTTTTCTGTGCATTTATAAGGGACAGAAGAATCACATTTAAAAAATCAATAATAAAAAGCTATCACTGATTAACAGATAAACAGACATATTGGATTAAAATATAGTCAAATTATATGGAAAGCAAATATGATATCATAGAAATAAAACATATCATAGCATAAAACTGCAAAAATTCACTCACATGATTTTAAGACAGCTTATAATTTGCTCTTTAGATATGCTAAGATTTTCCTATGATGCTGAATTCTTTGAGCCTTTTGAAGTGAATGGGTTCTGAGGATATTCAATATTTTGCAGGACTGCTTGCTACTGAACAGAGGAAAGAAGCATCAGTTTGGTGTCATCACGTGTGTTCTCACCAAGCATCACACAATTATGCACCCACAGCGTACAGGACTAGGAGTAAATGCACAGGTGCTGATAAAGAAAACTCAATGGATATGGAAAAACTGACCCAGTAATAAGGTATAGATGTTTTCAGAACTTAATCTTTTCAACACTGAAGTTCTTTCACCCACAGAAATGCCAACAGGATTTTGAATAGTATCTTATCTTAAATGCTTGTCCTGCACTTCTGAAGCCACGGATCAGGATCCAAAGATGATGCCTAACAACACTGAGGATGATGAACAATAGTGATGAACCAGATACATTTACAGTTGTGAGGAAAAAAAACAGATATAAATTTTAAACTTTTTTTCCTTTTTTATTGTTGCCCTCACTTGCAAATATGTAACAAATAAATGTGATTCCAAGTATTTTACTTGATGACTCTGGTTTTGTGTCCTAAATTCTTTATACTAAATAAAATACAGCATTTTCAGGAAAAAATTCATAATAGTTTTTTTTAAGAAGAAAAATGTTTTTGCKAAATCTTGGAAGCCATATTGCTTAAACATCAAGCAAAATCAATTAACATTACTTCAGACACAGTAYAATACATCATAGAAAGCGTATTTTATGGAACATTCAGTCAACATGCTGCTGTGTACTTGCTAAAACATATTTATTGACCACTTTCCACGTRTCTTATGGTTTGCAGTTTCCAGGACAATTACAGTATTTGCCCAGCTCTGGAGTAAGCTTTTCCAAACTTTTCAAAGAGACCAATCGATGGAAGCAGTCTTTCAAAGTCCTAAAGAAAATAGACAGAGAAAAAAAGGTAAGTTTTACTCAAATGGGTTTGCCTTTTTTAAAAGGTATTTTGGAGTTCTAAATAATACATTTTATTACATAAGATAGAATGCAAATTATGCAAAATAGTGGTTTTTAAATACACATATTTTTCATCATATGAATATTACTTTGAAGAAGAGCACAAGAATTTACTTAACTGCAAGCAAATATGTATTTCAAATTCTCAGCAACTAAAAGAACCACAGAAATTTCCTGCTCTAGAAAACAGATTTTACAGTCTTCAGCAAATCATGGTATCTAAAAGTTTATTCTCCTCCCTGGACACCAGGTAAGTTAAAGAAAGCACAATAGCCTTGCTATATTTTAATTTTTCTACCTTCATTAACATTGAAATATAGCTATTAAGCCAGGTCCATAAGAAATGGTAAAAAATATATGTATATATGTATAAGTATTAGAAGCAAAAAAATTATTAGGAGAAGCAGGTTGTTTCCTAAACACGTTTTTTTCCCAGGAGAAATTCTTGCTTATAACATTCAAATATTTTTAATGCAAATACTTAGAAATCAAAATTAAATAAGAGAAATGAAAGGGAAACTGTGCTTTAAGGGTACAATGTCAATTCAGCCAACAAACAAGAAAGTAAAACAAAGTGTTCTAAACTATATTTTGATTTGGCTACTTACTAATAAATACTCGTGTAAGTGAGTAGCAAGTCTGTYGTATTTAAGATCAAGGTTTTAAAGCATTCTTAAAATAACATTTTCCCTGAACCTGAAGTACTGGGAATATTATAACAATAGAAAATACTTGTTTTGCATTAGAATGGGTTTTATTTGTAGAAAGTAACACGCCACAGATGAGCTCTCATCTTTCTAGGATCTGATGATTCATTTTTAACAAGTTGGTCTGAACACTTTCTATTATTTTCTATTGTCAACATGTAGCTCTGCAAAAGTGGATGAAAATGAAATGTCTTCATGGAATGTCTGAGGCCAAGAGTGTATGAAAGTTAAAGTCTTACCATTTCAATACATTTCCCAATTTGAAAGGTTTAATTTTTTCCTTAAAAAAGAATAATACCCTTTAAAAAAAATTATGACATGAAATGGAATTATCATTCTCTGGACAATTTGGATTTAGCAACTCTGACTTCTAGTGAGCTCCATGCAAACACTGACTAGGCCCACCTGTGTTTCATCTGCATTGCATGCTGCCAAACAGTGACCATATAATTTCTTGCATCCCATACTTAAATTTGTTTAGCATGATTCTTCCAAAATTCTGGTGCATAAATCTTAAAATAGCAAGGTAGACATACATTCAAAATCAAATACTCTGTGTGTAGTGTGAAAGCGAGTACTATCCCATTCTTWAATAACTCACAAGGTTTACGTTTTTATGTTTTAATGCCTTGTACTGGCCAATTTCTTATTCAAGAGAAACAGCCTATTTGCATATTTCCATGTTAAACTTTTGAAATGGCACAATATTCTAATTTTCAGTGTCTGGCATCACAAGCACCTTTTTACCACAGGAAAAGTCGTCCATATAATTATTGTAATAAATATTATAATATCTCCAATGCAACTGCAAATGGTTTCCTTCTAAAGTGAAGTCAGTTATATTTAATTCAGTAAATTAACCAGACTAATTCTGTTCATGSGTGTGGAAAAATCAACAAACCAGCTCTAGTTACTGAGAAAGCCAGCAGATAATCTTGCAATAATTTAGGATTAATTCAGAGCACAACACGGCACCCTTTATTTTTAAAATAGAAAGTATCTTATGAATTAACATGCAGGACAGTTACATCCAGTTTAACAAAGGTTGAACATTTTAACTAGTGGTGAATTTGGGGTGAATTGGGGAAACCAGTAAAACCTGTGCACTCCCCACATGAGGATAAAATCAGGGATGGGAAGGCTGAGCAGGGCAGAGATCTTCATTTGCTGGAGCAGACGGCTTTCGCTATTAGGATTCCTGGCCAAACAAAAACAATTGGCTGCCAAAATTAGCTCCTTGGGACGATTTAGGAGCCTTTGAAGTGAACAGTGTTTTTGAGCTGGAACCAAGCCCAGGTCCAGCTTCGAACTCAAATCAAAATGACAAAGAGGAAATTTTCTGTGCCACACGCCCCCTCAGTGTAAGATTACTTTGGTTTGGCAGCTGCACTGTTTATCTTGTTATTTAAAACTATTCCACTAGATACTCACAACTGAGCATTTAAACAACTGGCTCTGATTATGACGAAAGCAGTTATGTTTGACCACATTTAGGAAACATTACAGACTCTGATGGATACATAAAATCATGCTGGAATGTACACCACATACATGTTGCATAGTATGCATATAAAATATAACTTTTTTAGGAAAAATATTTTGTTTCTCTTGTTTCTGTGTTTGAAGATTTTAATCAGATTTCAACAGAGAGATGAAGTAAGAACTGAAAACACCACCTGGCCTTGCAAGATCTACCTCTCAGCACTGAAGAGCCTGCATCACTGTACCATTGTAGCAGCATAAAGGGAAAGGAACTGGAAGCCAGGTTCTCACATCCATCTAGTTTGATGGTGAAATGACAGTGCAAAACATGCAGGGAAGCACAGTAATGCACTGCTCATTGATTCTGACAGGAATCATCTTGAATTAAAACTGTTTGCTACACAGCATAGAGTTTATGAAGTTATGTAAATAATCGTCTTGAAGAACATAGGTAGTAAGTGGAGAAAAAAAAGCTTTGAAATTATTTTCATCACCAGTACCTCACTGTTGGTAGCTGGAATGAATAAGTTTACAAATAGGAATTCACACATATTGGTGAGATTGACCCTATAGTTCTACACTCACAGGATCACAGGAGCATGGGGCCGAGCTTTATGGAATTTTTCCACAGCGCATTCTTAATTCACAGCGTACAATTCTCAGCATCAGAGACCTGTAATTCTCAGCACTGAGACCTACYTTTAAATTCCCAAACAAAGTTAATACAACACTTCCTTTTTAAACTTGTCCAGCTTTGACTCCTTTCACTCCAGTAAATCAACTGACAGAGCTTAACAAGACCTCTGGACCCTTTCAATATATTTGACTACTTGACTGTTGTGAGCTCATCAGTTCGAAACAATGGAGTCAAAAAAGGTGGCATCAAGCCACCAAAGATTTGTCTCAATCAGCACTCTGATGTCATAGATTAGACTTGCCAAATGGTTACATAGTCTATATTTGGAATGTTATTAAAGCAAATTTCAAAGACATTTTTCATCTGACTATGCAGACTTTCATAAATACAGATCACGTACAAATGCTGGCAAATGAACAAGACCTTGTAGACCTTCATATTGGTTTGGAGGCCTTTGAAAATGCCTTCTGTGATATTCTAGAAACAAATTTGTACTAACAGTGTTTCTTTTCAAGCAATTTTGAGAGTACTGCACAATATCCTGTAATATAAAAATGCAGTTTGAAATGAGACAGGAATTACAATTGAGTATCTTCCTGGAAATTTAATGAAGTAGAAAGTCAGATGCCTCAGACCAAAGCAAAAATAGGCAAACATCAGCAGCATATCTACTCACAGATTTTAAGGCCAGAGAGTACTATTATGACCATTTATTTTCCTTCTGCATACATGCTTCAGGTAATTTTGTATAGCAAATCTCTCAATTCCATAATAATTATGAAACTGTTAAGCATGTGATAAACTTGGAACAATAAGCATGCAACAAACTCATATTATCTGATTTATAACATAGCATAGTCATTCCTTTCTCTGTAATGATAAAATTCGGGTTTGCAGAATAAGTAGAGATTTGATTGCATAATTGGAGATTAAAGCTGTGTTAGGTTGTATGAATATGGATTTCCTTCACAGTTTAGTAGAAGCACCTTGTGCAGATGTTTCAAATATGAATTGTATAATGAAAAGTATTCTCTGTAATGTAAAGTATTCCAGCTATAGCAGATTTTCAGAGCTCTTCTGAGCCAATCTAAAAATACTGCAGACAGTGCATAAATGCATTATGCCAGCCCTGGCACTATGTGGTGTGAAAAAGATAAACAATCCATGAAAAGTKTGGATCTCAGAAAAACTTTTTTGTAGTTCTGGAATTGTATCTGTTGCTCTGGAGTGACCTTAAGTCTTTTCTGTTCTCCTCTATATAGAACTCCTATTCTGAACGTAATTTTTGTAAAGAATTAATGGCAGAAGGAAGAACTGAAAAATGAGCAAAGTTGCTGGAATTATAATTCTATCTTCATGCTATTGAGTAGTAAAACCAGGAAACAATATTTTGAAACTGATATCCACAGATAAACACCAAGACTTTATAGAATGCAAGGGGAAATTCTGCACAAGTGCCATTGCAGTAGATACATTCTTAGTGTATGGTGACTACACAGCACACTGAGAAATTTTGCTTTCCCACTAAGCTGGGAGATATCTCAAGTGCACACCTCCTTTGGAATTCAGGCAGTACTGCCAAGTGTCACTGTGCAGCTGTAGTCCTCAACCCCACCCATTTGATCATATTTAAGTGATCATATTTAAATGTTGCCTATGATCCTAATGCTTCCAATAGTAAAAATTAGGGTTTTAAATTGAGCTGTCTTGGTAAGCCTCCTGAGATGCTAATAGCCACAGAGGTCTCCAACAAGGAAGCAAACCAGGAACAGCAAGCTGTTAGACAAGTAAAATGTTGATCCAGCTAACTTTTATTCTCAGCAAATTTATCAATACTGGTTAACAATACTTCCAACTAGTACAGGGCCTTCTGACATGACAAAATGASTGTAACAACCCATTCTGTCAATACAACACAAATGTCATTTCAAGTGCTAAAAAACCACTAAGCTACCCTAAAAAAGATTGATTTATCTGCTCCAGTGTTTCTTTGGGGCAAACTTTTCTCACAACTGAAACCAATTAGTGGGCCTGGCACTTGTAGTGCAAAATGTAGGTCAGCATCAAGTAATAAAAAAGTATTGACTTTTYTCT